TTTATTTATAAAAAGCATCAATAACACTAATATTAACAATAAGCAAAATAAATGTGGAATGTCTAATGTTTTCAAATGGAGAAAATAAATAAAGGACAGGAGTCATATCAACTTCATTTTAAACTACAGTTTTAGTAGGTTAATAAGCTGTTTAATGCGGCTTTAATGCGCCGCAGACGCGTACCGTGAAGCGCAAATCAGCTACCATTCAGAAGCATTTAATCTGTGTTATATGTTCTGTAAAAAAAAAAATTCATATCGGCGGCATATTCACCGATACCGATATATCGGCGACAGGCTCATATCGGCCGATAATATCAGCTAAACGATATATCGGTCAGGCTCTAGCAAAATACACAAATTTCAGCATAAAAAACACAGTCCTTGGATAAGAGTTTTAAATACACATTGGTACAAGGAGATTTTTTAACTTAAAACACCAAATTGACATTTTCACAATTATATTACATATATTTTAAAGTCCAATTCCACAAATTATAAAAAGTTATCAGCTGTATCCGGCTGATCATATTCAGAAATAAATGTCACATTCCAGAGATTATGAATTTAATGCGGCTAACACATTTTGAATAAAGTTTCAGAATTGTGAAAATGCCACCCACAGCTTAGCCACCAAAACTTGATTTCCCACCGACAATGCTGTGACATTCGTCCACAGCAGACCCATAAGGCAAGCCTAAATGAATGGAGCGCAATGACACACGAGTCCCTCTATTCTTGGAGTAATCCCCATCAACGAGGCTTGGGGAATGGGGTAGGAGGAAATGAGCGGCCCAGACATGCGGCCATGGGGGATGCCCAACCCACCAGACCCGTGCCGGGATGATACTTACTTGGTCCAGCTCACTGGGGGAGGATTTCGCTTTAGCGAGCACATGAAGGATTTCATTTAGGAGGGGAGAGTCCTGAGAGTGGCCATTTTATTAACACAGAAAGAAACAAGAAGGAAAAGATTGAACATTGAGGACATTGAAACACACAACAGAGGTGCAAGTTTATTTAAATTTACCTATATTTCACTATTATGAAGTTCAAAAGCCTGAAAAAAGCAACAACTAATATTTTGTTTGTATAAAACAAAATATTAGAAAGTACTGTATGCTTCAGTGGAAGACAAATGAGAATAAATCTGAATAAGTGATCATTGCATTAATGGTATGACAGATCATTCCAAGTCAATTCTTCAGGGCTCAGATTTCCAAGCTGTAGTGTTATAAAGGTTTACCAGTTTATAGAATCAGATCAGCTTAGTGACTAACTCACCCACAGAAAAATTAACAACATTTTGTCTTGTGACATGGGTCATTCTGAAAATGTCATGTTGTTAGTGGGATATTAGTCGATCGGTAAAGGTCCTCTTTCAAATTTTGCTAATGTGTGGAGCCAATACTGCTTTGCTAAAAACAGAATAATCTGTTCTTTTATAAATATATTCAAAAGTGGCTGTTCATGTTGTACATCTCTACACACTGCAGGCAGGTGGTGGTATTGTGACAACTGCCTTCCCAAAACAGACTGGTCCAGCTACAAACATACAAACTGCATCAACACGGTTTACACATCTAAGTCTAACTGCTGTTTGAATGTTTTCATACAGGGAAAAACTGTAATCGATCTAACAGGAAATTTAATGTCATTTTAAAGTTAAATTCTGTTGTATCACAGTAGGGATAAAACGATTACCGGTTTGACGATAAATCATGAAAAAATTCCCCACGGTTAGTATTACCATTTCATATTTTAATTATCATTAAAACTGTATTTGATTACTGCGATTTGAACAATTCAGGATAAATAAATGCCGTCCAGCATAAAGCACAGTTTTAAGTAACCGTCTCATGTGTGCACAGCACACAGAGTAGTTTTGTTTTGTGTGAAATAGCGGAAAGCTGGGAGGTTTTAAGAGTGCTATGGGAATTATACAAATTAATATATGAATTAATTAATTATATGAATGTACCTCTAAAGGTTCTGACAGTCTTCAGAAAAGATTCGATGGCATTTTGTTTTCATCTTTGCTCCATGTAAAACCTAATAAAGAAGTGTTCTTTGTAAATATTTTATCTATTTAGTTTGTTTACAATTATGTTAGATGTTATAGTAGGGCAAAACGTTTAGTAAACTTTAGTACAAATTAAAAAAATTTAAACTGCAAAACTTCTGGAGTCACCTTAGAATTCCAAAGCTTATGTCTTGTGAGTAAACTACAATTCCATAAACATTCAGTCATACTGGAGCGTTTCTTCAACTACGGGCGCTTTTGGTCCTGTGTATTTCTTACTGTCAATATTTTGTCTACTACCAATGTACAATAATGTACATACATCACAAGAGAATTCTGTCATTACAGTGTTTCAAAGCATTTTGTGGTGGAATAACACCTGAAACATTTTTGGAATATAAATGTATGGCTATAAAGCTAGTTTCATGGCTAGCATGTTTCCTAAAAACACAATTACATTGTGCTAAATTTAACACAATGTAAACTGCAGTTTGATTAGAAATGCAAAATAACAAAAAATTATGTTTACTAGTGATATTTGCCATTTACCATTAAATTACAGATATAAAATTATCTGTAATTGTGTAATGAATTGTGAGCTTACAAAGCCATGTATAATATGTTTGTTCATTTTGTTGCGTGCATTATGCATTTGTGAGAACCTTTTATACTTTTAACTGAAAGCGAAATAAAACTGAGTGGAAAAGACAACTGTTGCGTTCTCTTCTCCCCGCTCATTCGCAGCATACCACGTCCACTTTTTTCGACATTTTTCATAACTGTGGTGAGAAATGACCGGTGATGAAATAGTTTTCATAACACTTTAAGCAACATCAAGCAGCAAAAGTCTGAAAGTCTCTGTACATCCACTCCTACATTTAAAAAAAATATATATTTTTACTGCTTGTTTAGTTTAGTTACTTAAAATGAGTTAATGCAGCAATTCTGTCACAACTTATCTATCTTGTTATGCTTTTAAGAGGTCACTGACTGACTGAAAATTGCTTATTTCAGGATATTCTGCATAAGTACAGTATTCTCTTCCTCTGCATCTCTGGAAAAAGAACATCTGCTACTAAAGTATTCAAGTGCACAGACAGCATACACAGAGACTGCAGTTACAGCCACGGAGCATAAAGACCCATTCGTTGTATTTGTTTTCAACAGCGTCACGCACAGCTACTGAGACCAATATGCTCTCCCTGAATCCAGGAAGACAGTGTCTCTTTTCTGACAGTTTCTTTGAAAGTGTCATTCTGTAAACGTTTTCCAGTAGACCCTTTTAAAATGGATTACAGTGAATTTCAATATCAATGATAATTGTGATAGCATGCAAAGCAGGATGTCAAATTCTCAGAAAGCCTAACTGATGATTACATAGAGAGTGTGACAGCAAAAGCATGTGCCCATTTCAAATTCATAACAGTTACAAATTAAGTTTAAGATTGCCATTAATCCCCAATAAACATGTCAGTCAACCATAGGCCATGTTTGGTTGTTGCTTCGCAATCTGAATACGATCTAATTAAATGACCATGTTGTGGCATGACTTGTTTCATGACTTGTGAAAAGCAAGCAGCATGCCAATTTCTGATTTTCTTTAAAAACATTAAAATGTTTTTACACTGAGATGTTTGTGAAATGCTAGAAATGTTTGCAGACATCGAATTACATACAACATTTTTAAAACAGCATCAATCTGACCTAAAAAATTTTTTTATTTAATCTAATTCAGATGATTAGAAATTGAAGCACACTTACCTCTATGCTGGTGCTAAGGCTGGGCAGGGTGTCTGAAGTCACCGTTGTGCTCTGAATGCTGGAGAAATCCCACAGGTTTACTGGGGGTATTGCATCGGGCACTTTCACTGATTCCCCACTCTGATTATCCAATAAGGTCACTTCGTAAAATTCCTGGATATCTGTTAAAAGAGAAAAGATTTATTTCCTTTTTTTCTGTAATACCCATATCTGAGAGAGCTTACTAAAAAAACGTTATCCATGAAAAGCAAGATACAGTGGCCCCACAAAATATTTACACTTATGCTACATGTAAATGTATGAATTTCACTGCCTAAACAATTTCATATCAATGCTATTATTATTCATGCTATTAATTCTAAACAGCCAATACCACTGTGATTTTTTTAGTGGATCCATGAAGTTATTTCCTCTCAAGTTCATCGTGTAGTTCATCATATTAACTATGAATATGTTTCACTAACATTTGACAACCGGAAAGTGCCCAAAAAAAAAAACTTTCTTACATTTTTAATTGTGTCTTAAGTGTCCAAATATCTTCTTTTTTTGTTTTTTTTGTTTTAAAGGTCATTCAAGGACACATTAATTGTGCAGATTAAAATCTTGTGAATGCTTGTTCATTAATGATCAGGGTCTCTTTACTGATGTGATTTAGTAGCCAATGGCATGCATCTATAAATACACATTTTAGTGTGAACATCGGTTTAAAGATTACAAACAAGAATGTAGTCTGAAGCTAGAGGTCATGGGAGATTTAAAGGTCGTTCACAGCTGTTACAACATTCATCGGGTTACAATCATAATGATACAAGGGTCAGCAAGCATGCTTTCAACAAAAACAACAGATGGACCACACAGGAACGTTTTATTATGAACATTTATAGCGTTTATTTGAAAACCACCACCCAGTCATGAGTAAACATAGTTCATATTTATGTATGTACATGGCAGAAAAGACAGAAGCTCACACCACTTTAAAAATCAAACAGAGAGTAGCAATCGACACAAAAGGCATATGTGCAGTTTAAAATAAATTAGGGAACTAGTCTCTTCCACAAGTAGAGGGGAAATAACTGTTTGAGAGAATGGTGTGCTGTGGTTGGCTATGCTGTTCGACACTCAGCCGAGAGAGAAAATAGAAGAGGGATATAGTTCTTCTCTGCATGGCAGAGATTGGGTAACAGGTCTGAAAATACATACTGGATCACTTGAAGCTACACAGCAATGAGAATAAATATTTTTATAATGCACGCTGGTGGGAGTGATTCCCTCATCTCTGGTTTCCCTTTGAAATACGGAGTCCAGTCACTTCACAGTCCCTCTGAAAAAACATTGCAGGCTTGTAACTGGGCTCCCACTAGTGAGCATCTGTCCTATGAACATTAATAATTTAGATCTAGCATGTTTTATGTAAAGTTAGGGTATGTAATGTTTTTCATAAACATTTTTTGTTATACTGATTGAAAGTCTCTTCAGAACCTGGATGGCAGTAGCTTCTGTGGTAGTCTCAGGACCATAAAATCTTCGTCCAATGTTCGGTCCGAATGCAATGATAGAATATCTTACCTGCCTGTCAACATATATATCTGCATAACTCCACGCACCCAATAGTGAGAATTTGGCACATGCTATTGTCCAGCCTAAGCCAGACAGTGTTTAACCAGTGTGGAAAAAGAAATTAAGATACCGTTACAGAAGTGCAAGCCAAAATTTGAAGACTTGCCAAAATACACAGAGATAGACAATGGGGTAAAACAAGGGTAAACATTGGCAGTTTTTACAAGATTAAGGAATTTGATGTAATGTTTGGGTTTCATACGACAAACTTGCAGCATTTCTTCTCGACGGGCAATCTAAACTTCAAATTAGGGCTGTCAAAAAAAAATTAGAATTTCGAATATTCGTCGAATTTAAATTAAAATCCACAAATTTTAGGTGTGAGTTAAGGAGGCAGCCTTATCAGTAGCCAAGTGTCCATCCAGTTTTTGCGCTGTTTTGTTATCGACAAAGAGAAAATGCGTAAAAAAATAATTGCAAAAATTGCTGTCTAGTTTCCATCCAACTGGCCTTTTACCTATAAAATGGTGTGCGTGATGACATCATCCCTAAAAAAACGAATATCATAATTCGTAATAAGTTTTGGTGTATCGCAAAAAAAAAAATCGCCCTTGAGATGTTTCCATACTTAATTTCACCTATTGCGTAAATTATATAAGCTAGTAGCCTGTTCTTCATCCATTTGAAACAAAACTTTATTATATAGCCTATTATTAAATCGTATAGGCCTGCATAAAAAATTTTTTAGCAAGTGTCATGAGTTTTTTTTTTGTACTTTGTTATAGACTATTTAGATACTTGATCATCAAGCATTATTCATAAATAGGTGCAGTTGTATTAGCCTATCATTATTTTTCTGACTAACTTTTAAAGGAAATGTTAATTTCGGTTATTTTATTTCTCCTAACCAACAACCGACGGTCGTTAAGCCATTATTAACCGACAAGATTATGTTAAATTACAATTAAATGAAATTTGAACTGATACATGGCTGTGACCCAATAAAAATACCTAAATTTGTTTTCCTGGGATTCATTTTATACACGCAAAAAGCAGCATAAACAACAGAACGTGAGGATTCACATGGTCACACACCTGCAGCGCTCCTGCGAAAGGAGAAAAACTTTACAAAGCTATATATAAAATAAATAAATAGGCCTATATGCGAAATATATTTTTCTAAATAATAAATTCACAAAAAAAAACAAAAAAAACTGTGCAACAATTAGCAGCCTAAATGCAGAATTTCAGCTCATTTTTGTGATGCACTCTTGAGAAAGTGGCATCCTGTTTGTTTCCTTTATTTTACAAAAGCACAATGTTTTGTTTTCATTGTGAATGTACACAAAGGAATATTTAGAATAGTTTTGAATAATGTCTTACTCTCATATGACCACAAATGAAGGAGTATAGTAACACCTTGTCTACACCGGACGCGACAGTTGCCACGCCGCTCGCGTTCAGTGTAGACACGGTGCAAGTTGTTTCCACTTTTATAAGGAAAAAGAAACAAAAAAACAAGTGATCGTGCCGGCGCCTCACTCGCGCAGTTAAGCATTACTAACTCAACGATGCAGCCTGTTCATTGTCATAATAAAATACAGTCAGCTAAACACTGAAAACCATGCTATTTTAGTTCCCCTCACGCCACAACAAATGCTACTTTAAATTTAACGGTAGAACAGAACTCAGAACAAAACAAGGAAAAAAAATATATGAAGCTACTAACAAGCCAAAACGAATTAATTTAAAATTTTGTACTTCGCATTCCAATATCCACGTAAAACAAAATGTGCTTGGCATAGTAATATCACGGGGGTATGGTGGTCACGGACTACCGGCTATTTAAACTGAGCAGTGCACTGTAAAAAATAACATAAACGTAGGCTACTAAAGGAACATCAAATTAAGATAAGTATGTTTGAGAGGTAACTTGTCTTTTTCTTACAAAATATAAAATTATTTTAGATGCAATTTAATAATATGAATATGATTTAATGCGCTTTTGAACTACGGGGAAATGGTGCATTAATGTGAGCAACACCATGAACACGGACGCTGCCTATAGGCTAATTCTGCCATATGACACCACATTTATTTGCGTTAAAGCCCCTTTTCTCGACGAAAAGTGTTTCCAAACTATTTTTGCGACATTTGAAGTATCGATATAGAATTTATGCGCTAAAGTTAAACGGAAAAAGATAATGTCGACACATGAGTAATTGTATCGATAAATGGCATTTCCATCAGCTGTATCGGTAAAAATTTTGAAGCGCTAAATATTTTTTCGTAAAGAATCCTTGGATGGAAACTTGGCTAGTGGCGCACGAGATGCGATGACGATGTAAGTGTCATTGCATTTTAATGTTTTTGTTAGGCTATCCAGTTGAAGCCACTAGATGCGGCGCTGCTGCGTTGTTCATTACAAATATTGCGGGAAAAGAGAACATCAATGCGGAGAAGATCTTGTTTACGTCAAAACTGAAACCAAGCCGTTCACACACAATGCATATTTCGCGCATTTTCTAGAGGGACATCTTATCATCGTTGCACTCACGTCTCGCACAAAAGAGCCGCATGTTTAGAATTGCATTATAATGTTTTTGTTAGTCTATCCAGTTGAAGCCACTAGATGCGGCGCTGCTGCGTTGTTCATTACAAATATTGCGGGAAAAGAGAACATCAATGCGGAGAAGATCTTGTTTACGTCAAAACTGAAACCAAGCCGTTCACACACAATGCATATTTCGCGCATTTTCTAGAGGGACATCTTATCATCGTTGCACTCACGTCTCGCACAAAAGAGCCGCATGTTTAGAAAGCCATGTAAAATTCATGCAAGTTCAACTTTTAAAAAACATATCTCGAGACTTTATGGCAGGTTTTTCCTCCATCCCACAGCATCTCATGTTTTTAAATGAAAAATGTACTCTGTGTGATTGGTTTTCGGCCCTTTGTGTTAAACTATGCATACATACATGATGCTGTTTTGTTTATAGTTGTTTAAGCAACTTAATTATAATTGGTTTATAAACATTATTTTAAACATTATGCACCTTTTTTCACAGATAGTCATGTTATCTTATGCTCTGAATAAACGTGCATTAATAATATTTTGCTCGATGCGCCCTCTTGTGGCCTCAGGAGAGAAGCCAAAAGCTTTTCTTCACCCTAACTGAAATTATGCATTTTAAATTCAAATAAAATTCGAATTTTGATAATATTTAAGTAAAAAAATCAAATTTAGTGTTTCAGCCATTTTGACAGCCTTACTTCAAATTAAAAGTTTTTCTAATATGTTGGACCTTTTATTGAAAGTAGCTTACTTTTACCTATCGAGACATGCTTTTACTTTTATAGACCCATGAAGCACAATAGGGGCAATTGCAAAGAGTGTTTGAAAACACTAGTAGCACAGAAACAGCATACTTCACCTTTAAGGTTGGCCAAAAATAAAATAAAACTTTTGTCCCATAGACACAAAATTTCTGATTGGGTAAACTAATACAGGATTTATTTCTTGTGATTAATCGCTGTTCTTTCACTTGTCAGTGCCCCTGTAAGCCTTAGAGAAGCTACAGGTCGTCACAGAATCCTACCATTT